CCAGCTTCCCCCCCCCCCGCCCCAGCAGCTGCTTCTTGGACTGTATCCATCTTCAGAGTTTCCATTCTGTTTGTTCCCAAATGGCAGTGCTTCTTTACAGTGTAGGTAGGAGAGCAAGTGCTAATGGGGCAGATACACAAGACTGCACAAACTATTCCTATGTCAGAAAAAAAGTGAAGAATCCCCTCTGATCAGACCATCCCCACTAATGCCATCCTTTATTTTGTCTTTGCTGGCATTAGACTGTTGCATTTCTAACTGTTAGCCTTCTTCCACAAGACACACCATCTCCACAGACAGCTGTCCCCTGTGCCAATACCACTGCACACACTCAGCTCTTTCCTTTACCAGATAGGCTGTTCACACTCCTTTCCTCACCAATTGTGGCTGTTTGGAAACAAGGTCAGCAGACACAATCCCCTTCTCCCTGCCTTGTAACATGATCAGCTGTGCTTGCTTGCCTTCACAGAAAGGAAAACAGCACTGCAAGTCAGTGGGTCTAGGATGCCTAACTCCACTTACCTCCCCAAAGTGTTTCACCCTATGCTTTTAAAATTAGGTAGCAATTATAGATAATTAGAGAAGAGCTGCCATAAAATTTGGATCCACATTATTTGCTTATGTGCCTGCCAAAACTTAAAATTGGCACTGGAAAGCAGCAAGCTGTCCAAGCATTATGTAATATTGGAGCCTGTTTTGGAGGAAATGGTTGCTTGAACTAGTGTGCACTCTGTCCTTATCATAAGCTCTGTGGGTTCAGGTCTCCAAGAAGACTTTGAACTAATCTTCTACTGTTTACACTGAGTTGCCAATCAAACAAAACCCTTTGGGAGAAAGTCTACTTTTACCACCTGGGGACCTCTCCAGCTGGCAGGAGATATGAGGAAGAAGCACAGGCCTTCCGCCAAGAGGAACTGGGAGTCTTAAATCTCATGTGTACCAACATAGCAGGCCATAGTAAAAATCAGCATCACAGACCTATTGACAAGTGAAGCAAAAGCAGCTGGGTGCACAGTAACAGCCCTGACCAAGCTCTCTCAAAGGACTTTGCCTGACATCCACATGGCACTAATCTGAGAGAATTAGCCCAAAGCATATGCTGGTGATCAAGCTAGTGGCACAAAATCATGCGTAGTCAACTCCCGATATCTCACTTCTAGCAAGCATGCCACAGCACCACAGGCAAATCAAAGGACCTCTGTTTTCCCACTTGAGATTTAACACTCATCACAAGGGAAGGGTTTGTGTATTAATGTCTCTGTAGGATGAGACTTGCTGTTGAGGAGAGGTCCTTATGTTACTGGCAATCTAGAACCACAAAGACGGGAGCAAGGCCCCACTTAAATTTTGTCTACGGGCAGCATTTGGAGCAGTTTCCTCACCATCAGATACATCACAGATTTGCTGACAGAAGCCTGCAGTTATTGCAAAGAGAAAAAAGACTTTCTAAACAACAAAACCTGTTGCAAAATAAGACAATCTTAAACACCCGTCAACTCCGTTGGGTCAGCACTCCCGCTCCTCTGTCTCTACCACGCTGCAGAGCTCAGAGCAAACATCTGTGGCCCGGCACACTGATGCTGATCAGTGCGGACGTGCCTGTTGCATTCACCTGATGCTGGTGTTGCCCATTTGCTTCACTGTAGGGTATTTTTACTGCTTCCAGGCCTGAGCTGGCACCCACACACGCAGTCTGGAGGTCTGCATCCTCCTAAGCTTAGTTTTACCACCCACACTACACTGGGCTGCTCAGCCGTACGCTTCACATGGGGTGTATGCGCCTGCCAGGGACTTGTCCAGGACCTTGCTGTCCTGGGCCATGGCATCGGCCTGACAGCCCTACGGGGCAGACAAGGGGCCTGCGGTTGGATCTACCGCCTCGCCCACGGGCCAGCTGATGGGGCAGCCACGGAAA